GTCAAGAAATACCCTAGTATTTCTTTCTTATTTTCTTTAGTCAGTTAAGTGTTTTCATGTTCTCATTTTTCCAATCTTGATCAACATAAGCAGCAAAGTCCTCATTATATTCATGTGGACAAATAACTACAATTTTTGTAGGATAAAAGAGGTAAGAAGAAGCTGCTGCTTTTATGAACATATATTGTGCTGTCCCAACAGTGTATAGCTAATGTAGGCATTAAGAACTGTCTCCTTTAAGAAACTACAGATATCTATTTCTAATTCACCATTACCTCTTATTGAAATTGTGATTTAGGCTTTGGCTGTGATCTCAAGATTTGTAGAGGTTTGTTGTGCATATAATTCCTTGGTTAGGAAATAAATGTATGGGACACATTAACTACTGACAACTAAAAGAAAATGTGGATTATTAGAGGGTAGCTCATAGATGTTGGTAGGCAAATATGGTCATGCTAGTCATCAATCAGAAAGAATAGAAAAAGGATGCCTTGTTCCATTGAGAATTTGATTTTAATCTATTATCCTTTTACAGCATAATTTGGTTTATAATGCATTGAAATAACTATCATAGATAAATATAGAGAAATAGCTCTGAAATATTTTACTCTAATAACAAATAAAAAGCAAACGTCAATGGTGACGATTGACTAAAAATGAACATAATTGCTTGTAAATGAATCTAATGTTATAATGGAACAGAAGAAACATATTTTAGTACAGGTAGCCCTTGAGTAATGACCACATTTGAACCCAAAATTTCTGTTGCTCAGTGAAACATTTGTTAAGTGAGTTTGCTCCATTTTACGACTTTTCTTGCCACAGTTGTTAAGTGAATCATTGCAGTTGTAACATAAGTTAGTCACACAGTTGTTAAGTGAATCANACACACACACACAAAACCCTAATTGGTACAAAGGACCTGGAGCTTTCTGCTTTGAAGTAATTGGTGTTTTCATTCCATAGACTCCTTATTCCCAAATTATCATCTGGCACACCTTTTGGTTTCCTTAGACGCCCCATTCTAACTGGGTCTGCCTCATTTCCTAACAAAAGTATTTCGCCTGCAGCTAAAAAGAAGACTGCCTAGTTGGTCTCCCTCATAGGATCACTACTGCTCCAATTGCACAGCAGTAGAAACACTTCAGAGAGTTGTTCTTGGCTGCTCCTAGGAGAGTGCAGCAACTCAGAAGTAATCCCTGCTTTGCTTGCACTAATTTTTATCAGCCTCCCCACATTGCATCAGGTGAGTAACGGCTTCTGGACTCTCCTGAAAGCTCTCCCATTGCCAGAAAAGAAGTTTTCCAGCCAACGTGTGCAGAGTCAGTGCTCTCACACATTTCAGGAAACTGCAGCTGAAATGCCACTTTCCCAGCTGAGAAAGCCTCTCTCCAACACACACCCTCTTTTTCCCTCAGGCTGGCAATTTGTCTTCAGACAATGATTTCCACCACATGCCTCCTTTTCCCAGTGTGATTATCTTCACTCGTACACATACACAAACACACACCCTTCCCTCTAGCTATTGCCATATAGCCTTGAGCCTGTGCATGCTGACTTGTGACAGGTAACCCTGTCTTCAAGCATGCTTGCTCAGGCAAAGGGGGGTGCGGAACTGTGGTGAGGGCCTTTTGTTTACAGGCTTCCATCTAGCCTGGTCAGCATTATTTTTCTCCCCTTTAAGCTGCCTTCTTAAAACCCACTTTCTGAGGGTCCCAGAACCTAAGATGTCTGTCCAGTCAAGGAAATGGCAGCAGCAAGCCACAGACAAATCTAATAAATTGACAAAATCAATGTTTTTAGTTTTAATCATACTAGAACACATGCAAACAACTGCTGAGCTTGTCGATCAAAAAGATCAGCAGTTCAGCGGTTCGAATCCCCAGC